GTCCACCATTTACTAAACATGATCCATAATTGTTCTTGTCTAATTCTCTATTTACATAACATGATAAAAATATTGTGGAAAATTGAGATTACAAAAATACCCTTCCATCTTGTCCAGATTGTATCAGGTAATTTGCAAATGTAATTGGGAAAACACACACAGAGCTCGTGACCTAAAATTTGGCCCTCCCCTTCGAAGCATTCGTGGACCAAAAATTGAGGACGTTAAACAGCCTGCGTCGGTTCATTCATCCCGGCGTAGCTTCTACAATACGGCCACATCACCGGCGATTCGTCACCTTCAGTCAACTCGTAAGTGTTCCTCTTACGTTTCAATTTACTTTCCACCAATCCGAGTAGTGATGCAATCTTTTGGTTTAGGACGCTTAAATTATGATTTATTAGGGTTGTATGTAATTCTCTAGTAGCATTTATGTTATTTTGTAGTGAAGTTGAATTTAGATTAAAAAAGAATAGATAACCCGAGAGATGAATTCGAGCCGAGCCTTAAGGAGCCTTATCGAGCTGACCCGAGCTCGGCTCATTAACCAAACGTGCTTTAAATGAACTTGAGCCAGCTCGTTAAGGCCTCGAACTCGAGCCGAGCCGAGTTCGTTTAATTTAACAGCACTACGTGCCACATAGGTAAAACTAGACCCAAAACATTGCAGATGTTCTAGCATAAATGGAGCTAATCTTAATTATATGGGAAAAATAAATAAAAGAATGCATATTGTTTAGAACATCTCCAATGGTCATTCTATTATTCTATTATATTGCCACATGGCGCAAACAATCCTATGCGGTATGAAAAATTGCTAGAAGGTCTTCTAGATGTAGAAGTCATTCTAAAATATATTTTATTCAATTTATCTCTCTTCTCCACACAATTAAAATTTTACACATCACAAATGACACCACAATTCACACTAACCATTGGAGACATAATTTTTTAATTTCCTTTCTCTATGTCATTCAACACACAAATGGACATTATTTCATTGGAGATGTTCTTAGAGCAACTCCAATGGTCCATGGATTGATCATTTTTATTGTCATGTGGCATTCTAAATGTCTAGAAGTCTTTCTATATCTAGAAGTACTTCTAGACATCATCTATTATATTTTTTTATTATTTATTAAATATATATATATCATCACCAACCAATTACAATGTAACACATGTTAAATTATATTTAAATTGACATTCACTATTGGAGACAAAATTTTGTAACTCCCATTCTTCATGTTATACATCTCCAAATGGACTATATACCATTGGAGATGCTCTTATAAGCCTACACTTGGAATCAGTGTTGGTAGCTAAAATAATTAGAATATGTATAATTATTTATTTATTTTTTTATTTATTTTAATAAAATCATTATACACTATAAAATTAATGATTATAATATATACAATTATATATTATACATATAAATTAAATAAAATATATATATAATAATTAAACCAATTTAACCTAATACGACTAGTGAATCATTGAACTGTCAGCCCAGAGCCAGTCCACAAGGGACATACATGCCTATCCCCTTAAAATTCACTTCTTTGCATTCCCTTCACAACGAAAGATGACATCCTTTTCCCAACTTCGCACAGTTCCACAAAACAAACTCAGCCAAAAACATCTCATGGCCTCATCACTCACTAATCCTCTAATCTCCTCCAACTTCCTCCGCACCCAAAGCTTCTTCTCCGCTTTACCTCGCGCACATATAACACTTTCCAGAAAATTCCCAATCCCACAATCCCTTCTCAACGGCAAAAATCCCAAGAAACCAACAATTATCCGAATTCACGCCGCTGTAGCTGC